GGTAGGAATGTGCAGGAACTCCGCCCTCTGGGCACAGTCACACAAACCCAGCACAACAGATACAGCCAGCCCTAAAACCTCTATTGATCTTCACCTTCACCTCTTCCTAACCCATTTGCCCACTAGTTTTTGACCCATTTACCCAGGCACCTTCACCACGGGGCGGAAAGGGGGGGGGGGGGGGGTATTAAAAACAAGGACACTTCAGGGTGGTATTAAAAACAAGGACACTTCAGTGCACAGAAAAGCAGAGAATCTACTACAGACAGTAGTGCAATAGATAGACACCTCTGCAGTCTGTGTGTGTCTATATGTTGTATACATATTTATTGCCAATCGCTGATTTTGTACTCGCGTAAGATGTATGCGCATATACTTTCTCGGGCGGGTGTATTATTCGCGATCACAGCGCAATAGAGGCGATTATCTACAGGCAGATTTTTTTGTTTGTTTGTTTGTTTATCTTCCATCCTAAGGGAAAATACAACAATTAAAGAATAAAGTCGCTAATAAAAGGAGTGTTGCTCAGTGTTCTTTCTTAAGCAAAACTCTGATGTGGATCAGTCAAAACGTAACCGGAGTTCAGTGGGAGTTTTGCTTGAGTGAATACTGAATACATGGTGATTGAGACCTCATATTAACACAAGTGGTGAGGGGGTGTGTACCTGAATCATAATTTCTGACATAAATCTTAATAATCATCAGAAGAAGTTATAAAGAGCAAAATGACGTCCCGGTTAAACTATTTTTTTCAAGTATCAGATTTAAAAATGTTACTCACCCAAGCAGAAGTTTTGTGCCATTTAAGCCAAATTACATTTTTGTTCACTTTCTTTTAAGCCCTTTTGTAAGAATACATTCCACATAAGGGATGATATTTGACTGTAATAAGAGAAAGATATCTAAAATATGACAAAAATTTGTTGGCCAAATATCGCGTTGAGAATTCGAGTTACTGTTTATTATGCTTCAAACATGTTTGCGAAGGCAGTCTTAAAGTCGTAATTGGATGTTTCTTGATGAGCAGATTTCTTCTCCTACGATCTACGCGAGCAAAGTTAATCACCTCCAACATCAACTAAGAATATAACAATAGCTCCTTAATTCCATAAAGACCGCCCGTCCCCCATAAACACTCTAAATTAGGAAACGCTAAAGAAACGACGCTAAGACACTGCATCATTCTAGAAATGTACATGTTTAAAGAATCCTAAAGGCTTAGCTTGAGTATTTGACATATAAACCACCGCGGAAACAAGTTATCAGATAACAGAAATACTGTATGCTAAACCACCCCCCCTAAAAAAACCCAAACCAAACCACAAAAAAAAAAAAAAAAAAAAAAAAAACCTATGCTAAACCACCCCCCCCTAAAAAAACCCAAATCAAACCACAAAAAAAAACCAAAAAAAAAAAAAGAAAAGAAAAAAAACCCCAAAACCTCCAACCCCCCTAACAATAAAGCAACAACAAAAAGAAAAACAAACAAACCACCACCTCGAATTCAGTGCCGAACGAGCCTGGGCAAAGATCAGCCTCAGCTAACAAAAGGGTTTCTCTGTCTGAGGAGCAGGCAGAGGTAAAGACATATTTGGGGCCTTAGCAGTCCTGACACAATCCACGACAACTTTCGTGATTTACTGGAGTTATTTTATTTTTGGTATGGGTTGTACTCATTTTTTTCCTTTATAAAAATAGTCTGATTCCTGGTAACGTGTATGGAAACGTGAATAAATTACCAGCTCAGCAACCACCCCTGCTCCTGGTGTAAGAGGGAAAAGTCTGTGGCACCTGAACTCCTTAGGCAATACTTTGCAACACCGAAGCTAAAGGAGAGCTCTGGGAGCGAGTGCTGGCTTAAACTAAGTCTGGAGAGACATACATCAAGGCTACCCTTTTCAGGAATTATTATGCATCACGCTTATCTAATTAATGCTTATTAGCCAACCTCAAACTCTGACATGGTGAGATTGTGCTTTCCTCCAACCTGATCTGTCTCTTTCCTCTCTTCAGTACACTGACAGCAGATTTTTATTTTTTTTTTTACATTGCAAAAAAATTATACTTTACGTATGTGCTATTGGATTTCCTACGGCATACAATCAGTTGCGAGTGGTAAATAATAAATCATTTTCTTTGTCAGCTGCAGCAGATGCTGCTTTTTTGAGTTGTTTAGGCACTAGTATACAGAATGGGGTCTCTAGGCTTAAAGAATAAATCACACCTATTGTATTTTATTATTTCCAATAGTTTTGTTGAAAAAGATTTTGGGGTGGTTTTTTTTTTTTTTTTTTTTTTTTTTTTTTTTTTTTTGTATTTTTGCATCTCTTGTTTTAATGACAATAGAGTCAAGAAAATGGGGGAGGGTAGGAGCTTCCAAGTGGTGGTATCATCTCTCCATCCCCAAACAAAGCAATCGTTTTCTCATAGTGATGATTAATTTTGAATTGCAGGAGTGAGAGTGAAAGCTAAGAATATCAGAGAGTTCTCTCCTTCTCCCCCACACAGTGCAAAGCTGGGTGTCCCATCTCTCATCTGTAACCTTTCACTTCTCTCTCTTTCCTGTAGATCTGTTTGCATCTGTTTATATATTACTTATTTTCGGGAGATTCCCTCTTCCTCCCTTTATTCTTTCAACACGACAAACACACTGTTTGCAAGAATTCAGATTTTCTACTGCTTCTTTATTCACCCCCCGGCACTTTTCCCCCTCTTTCTTCCTCTTTTCTGTCTTTCTAAGATAAGCTCTTTAAAGCGTTTGCGATAACATCTCCGACCTAGAGATTATTTTTCATTCGGCCTATTGTGAGCAGTCGCCGATTTATTGCACTGCTGCAGAGCTCAGTTTGGGCTACAAACGTAACAAATGAACAACTTGTCCTCTGCGGACTCACCGCGGGATCCAATTAGTTCCTAAACCTTTTGCACAAGTTTTCTAATTATTTTCAAGAGTTGTGGCCTTTATAGGCTTCTCTAAACTCATCAAGACACCAATTCTTTCAAGGATTAAATGCTTCTTAAAATTACTAGCAGCGTTGCCCCCTCAAAACTAATGGATCGATTCTCCGGGCAACGCAGCTTTCTTAGGGACGCCTGCGTGAGTAACTGGGCTTCAGCAGGCACTGAGAGAAAAAGAGCTCGTTTTCAAAACTTTACATGTAAGTGCATCCATACAGGTTTGCTTTGTTGATTCTTTTTCTTTGTTTGTTTGGTTGTTTGGTTGTTTTTAGCCCCTAAAACGTTTAAACATCGGTATGCAAGGCAGGGTGTCACGTGAGCCTCCGGCGCCCTGCCTCCCTGCCATGGACTGCGCCTTCACCTCACCGTGCTCGGCTCCTGCCCCCCCGCCCGGCCCACGGGGCACAGCACTGAGCTGGCTGCCAAAAAATACCGCTACTTTCACAGTACCTAGAGCCGAAGTGTCTGCAGCACGAAAAGTATATAAATACACACAGCCTAGATACTTCCGGAAGAGCGCTCCTTTAAGATAAGGGTTATATTTTATACACACACATATCATAGCCTGCTAAATTTGGTCAAACGATCATATGATAGCTGATATGTGTGTGTATTTACGCACACATACACATCCTTTGCTAATATATCTCGAGTCATCACAGAGAGGAAATTAATTTCTTTCGGTACAATAAGTCTTTGAATGCATTTCAGAGATTGCAGGAAGAACACGTACCTGTACAATAATGCACCCTGGCCTTTCCCCCAGTGCGTGCTTATATACTTAAATTGTATATGTATGCGTGTATATTTGCATACATATGCAATGTTAAGCATTTTCAGGCTAAGTCAGATTTTAGTAAAACACTCTACCTTCTACTAACAATATTTAAGCAGACTTTATAAGTGTTCTGTCCCAAAATGGACATCAAAATAGTGGCCATGGTGTTTGATTCAATACCCTGATCCTTTACATTTGAAAATACTGCAGTTAAAGACAGCATGGGAGGGGGCGGGGGGAGAAAGAAAGGAGCATGTGAAAAATGGTGGACCGCGCAATAAGCAGCGCTCTGATCTCACTGAAACTTTAAAGCCTCTGCCACATTAGGGTTAATAAAAGAGACAAAAAAACTATCAAGTATATATGAATTTAGCCTATTTTTTTTATTTCTGTGTGTTCATAGTAAACATTTTTGTAAGTGACAAACACGGGCATATGACCACAGTATCACAATCAAGAAATTTTAAGACGACATTAACAATCACTCAAATTTATGCGGCTTTTGCGCAACACAGGTTACATATTTGCAAGGTTTACCTATAAGTACAATAGGTATTAACATTTCACTACATTTAGAAAAAAAATAAAGGTGACCTGTTAGTGACCACATACATCAAAATATACACAACACAAACTGAAGGCAATCATTAATTTTGTCCCCTTCTGATTAATTTGAACGGGCAGTGCTGAAAACTGAAATAATCTTGCTGTTTTTTTAAATTACTTCGTACACTGAGTGCATTTTCTAAAACCCAATCTTTGGTCTAAAAGTAAACAAACAAACAAATGAACAAAAAAAGAAAAAAAAAAAAAAGCAATTCGGTAAAGAAAATAATAAAATAATAAATGGCCAAAAGTAGATCTTGGGCATTTTTCATTATTAATTCTGCTTAAATACAAATTATGTTTTAAGGTTTTCTTATAGTTTTCACAAATTTAGTGGTTTGGTTTGTCTGTTTTTTTTTTTTCCTTTCAATGTCTGCACCCACCGACATGTCCATGATAACTTATAATACTGCAAACATGGAGAATCGGGCGGCTTTTAGTGATAGACTTATCATATTTGAGTAAAAAATTGCAAAAGCAGTCACTATTTCGATACACATTCTACTATAATTTTGTCTTCCAAACTTCATAGTCTACAATGCAATCTCCCCACATTGCACCTTGACACTCCTCACCTTGGTGGAATAATAAACAACCCTAAAGACTGAACAAACGTACAGAAAATGGGGGACTTAATAAAAAATACCTGGACTTTTTTGTTTTGCTTTTTTTTTTCCTTTTAATTATCATTTACAATGCAAATGTGTGTAAAATGTTCACTTACAGTCTGATCCCATGGATGTTAATGTATTAAAGGGTTTGAAGAAGACCCCTGATTTTGATGTGTGAAATAATCAGAAAGTCCTCCGGAAAGTCCCGTTGTAAAACTTGGCAAAGAAGGTCTTAAGGACTCACAGGGGAGAGTGGAGGGCGCCTGTGGCGACGTGGAGGAGGAGGCTGCCCTGGCCGTCATTGAAGTGCTGCTTTGAGAAGTCATTGAAGGGTGAGGAACATGGGGGAAAAAGTAACTCGTCTGTCCTGCTAGGAGATTTACAGAGCAGGGATTTAGGGAATAGGTGCCGGAGCAGGGAACTGACAAGCCACACGGCACTGAGGCGGCCAGAGCTGCTGCTGTGAGGTGATGAGTGGCATAAGGTATCTCTCCATTGACTAGTCTATCAACACTTAACCCATTAGACGTGGAAAAGGAGTGGTTGTTTCCCAAGGAGTTTTGAGTCAACACTGAGCTGTAGGGCATGGGGTGGCTGGGGTAGGCGGACGTGGTCCCATTGTAACTCAAAGTGCTGCTGGCCCGGGGGTGGTGCAGGGAGAGGAAGGGGGACATAGGCCAGTACAAGGATCCTGCCCTATCCATGAATGTCAGTCCGGTAGAGGTGAGCCGGGCGCCCCGCTTGAAGGCCAGCTTGGCTCGAGAGGTGGTGGAGCGCCGGCGGAGCTTGCCGGTGGTGCCCCCGATGAAGACGTCGTCGCTGGAGGGGTCCAGCATCCAGTAGTTCCCTTTGCCCGGGTCGTCGTAGTGGCGGGGCACCTTGACGAAGCACTTATTGAGCGAGAGGTTGTGCCGAATGGAGTTCTGCCAGCCCTGCTTGTTCTCCCGGTAGTAGGGGAAGTTCTTCATGATGAACTCGTAGATGCCATTGAGCGTGAGGCGCTTCTCGGGGCTCTGCCGGATGGCCATCATGATGAGCGCGTTGTAGCTGAACGGCGGCTTCTCGTACTTGCCGTTCTTCTTCTCCCCCTCCTTCCCGCTCTCCCCGTCCTTGGCCCCCTCCGCCGCCCCCTTCTTCTCCTCGGCCGCTTTCTCCTTCTCCTCCAGCTCCGCCGCCGCCGCCGCCGCGCCCGCTTCGCCTTTGCCCGCCAGCATGTCCGCCTTGGCCACCTCCAGGGCGCCGGAGGCGGTGGCGGTGGGGGGCGGCAGGAGGTGCTGCCCCTTCTCCTCGTCCTCCTCCTCGGCTGCGGCCGCTCGCTGGGGCTGCTGCGGCGGCGGGTGGTGGTGGTGGTGATGGTGGTGGTGGTGGTGATGGGGGTGGTGGCTGTTGTGGTGGCTGTGGCTGCTGTGGTTGTTGTCGCTCTGGACGGCTTCGGGCACCAGGCTGTTTATGCTAAAGGAGGATTTCGGCAGCATTTTCACTTCCTTCCTATCTCCCATGTCCAACATCACACACTAGTCTGAGGGGGAAAGTTGCGGCGGCTGAGGGAGCTGCGCGCGGGGCGGCGGCGGAGGCGGCGGCCGAAGCGGTGGCGGTGGCCGAGGCAGCGGCGGCACCACCGGCGGCGGCGGCGGCGGCGAGAAGCTACTTCATGGTGCCCGGTTCCCCCGGCACGGCAGCGCAGGGGGAGGCAGGAGGGAGCAGCAGCCGCCGCGGGCCGGCGCGGAGCGAGGCAGACGGGCGATACAGCCCGCCCCGGCCGCAATTAATTTCAGAGCTGCCGGCACGCACCGGGGCTGTAAAACATTTTTTGGTTTAACCTTTCCCACCGGCCGCCCAATCAGGGCCGGCGGCGTGCCCGCGCGTCTGCCCGCCCGCCGGCCAATGGCGGCGNGAGGCGCATCACCGCGCGGTGCGCGCGCCCCCCGCCCCGTGCCCCCCCGGCCGCCGCCGCGAGCACAAATCCCCCCGCGCCGAACAAGTCGCCCCCGTCCCGCGGCGGCGGGCCCGGCCCGGCCGCCCGCTCCCCTAGTTCCTCCGGCGGACTCAAGTTGCCACGAGCCGCTTTGCCCCTTCCTCTGGCGACGAAGGAGGCGGGGTGGGAGGCCGGGTGGGTGAAGCGGCCGCGGCACACCGGTGGCGGCGGAGGTACTACTTTGCGGATCCCGCCGAAGTCGCTCGGCGAGTTTATTTTCCCAGGCCCGGTTATTTCTGTTTGTTATTTTGCCGAGGCAGAAAACAAAACAGTCGTCCGGAGGGGACGCAGGCGGCGGGATGGGCCCGGCCTGCGGCAGCGGCCGGGGCCGGACGCCGCTGCCCGCGGCCTGCCGGGGGAAGACGGGGTCTGCTCCGGCCCGCTCGGGCCGTGCCCGCCGCTCTCCGGACTGTGAGTCGGGAGGCTCGGGAACGAGCGGCCCATCTCCTCCCCCGCGCTCGCCCCGTGTCACCGGCGGCCGGAGCCGGGCTTCGCGCTTCCCTGCCCGCCGCCGCCCTCTCCGCCCCGAGCTGCTGCCGCTCGGACGCCGCTTCCCTTGCGCGGCCGCCAGAGCCACGCGGGAGGCGTCGGGCTCCGTCCGCCGCCTCCTTCGCGCTGCCGGCCTGACGGAGCCAGCCGAGCGCAGGCCGCGCGCCAGGCGTACAAAATAAATGTTGGTATTGGTAGCCCATGAAATCGACACTGCGGTTTTCTGCCGGCCCGGCCCGTGGGCCCGGCCATCGGGGTCTGAGTTCCGCGGAGTTTAGTTTCGCTAGGAGAAAGGATAGGGCGGGCGGCAGCGGGTCGGGCTCTCCCGAAGGGAGAGGGAAAGGGTCTGGCACCGCCGCGTTCCACAAGCAGACGCGGTGATACAGGCTCGGGATTACGGCTGCGCTTTGCCGGGACCAAAGGGTTGGGTATTAATCGTCCACAGCATATAGTTTTTTACTGTCAGCACGGAAACAAACAAACAAACAAAACCACCAAAAAAGCGGAAAACAAAGTAAAATATATCGCGCAGCTTTCTTTCTCGGAAAGGAGAAGGGGAAATGTAATGGACAGAGCGCGTGCTGATCGCATTCAGACCAAAGCTGTGGTAAACCTCTAGCAGCGCGTTAAGCTGCTTCACATTTGTGCTGGAGGAAAAGATGCTCCGTAGAAACAATATGTGCAGCTCAACCCCAGCTAAAACAACTTATCCCAAGGAAATTCAGGTTAGAGCACAATGCAATGAATGCAGTTCTGTGCAGACGTGCGTTTTATATATGTGTTTGTGTATGTCTGTGTACGAGGGAGGGAGGAAAACCGAGTGTGGGAAAGAGAGAGTAAATAACGAGGACAAGTAAAATGGACCGGTAATAAACAATTGCAATTGGGGATGGCATGAACTCCGGGCATTGGATTAACCTCGAATGACCTTACCACAATTGTATTTATTTAACCAATTTCATAACAGGTTGCTACTGACACACACACACAAGTTAATGATCAACAACCACTCTTTTTTCCTTTGTTTGTTGTTTAGTTTTAGATTTTTTTGGCTTTTTTAGAAATGCAGGTTATTTGGTTTTTTGTTGGTTTTTTTTTTTTTTTAATCATGACAATTCATCATTATTTCGTTTCTCAACACCGAAGTCAATGTATGGGATTTCTTGACGAAGAGTGCAGTGAGGACGATATTATATGACTCTACCATGACAAGGGGTAAGAGGAAAGGTAAGCTTCCTGCATATTATTATGATTATGATGATCATTAACTAATATGTGTCATTATGGTGCACTAGGATCCCATTAGGGTGGCTGGGCCCAGTGCGTTTTCCTACTCGGTCTAGCATGTAATGATTCGGTGTAACCAGATTCTTGAGAAAGGACAGGTTACGTAAACATTTACTGATGTGGAGTAACTATACTATTTGTACTCTGATATGCAGGAAGGAAAGTGTTGATTAACACAGAAGAAAAAAAAAAGCGAAATTAGCTGATTGCATGCTCATAAGTGCAAGCTGTCATTGAACTGCTTTTAAAATAGACACAGCTGGGTGTTTGTGTTGAAAAATTTCTTGTGTTTTTGCTAATACTGAAATAAGCATGATTTTGTATACCAAACATTTTCAGATCATTAAAATTTGTAATCTGTGCTGCTTTTAAACACAAAGAAAAGAAATAGATTCATTTCGTTGTAAAATTTGCTGATATTATATTAACTCAATCAGGTCTGTACAAATGGTGTATTGTGCCTTATCAAATCTCTTTGATCCATTTAATACACAAAGTGCCAAACGTGTGTATTGTTTGTTAACATTGAACGTTTTATTCAAATCCCAGCTCTGTAGCGAACTGGAGGAGTTCTTGTTTAATGTAACACTGACATTGCCTGTTGAAATTTTAATGCCTTGAGGTGTTTCTTAGGTCAAAGCTGAGTTTACTTTGTGTTGTGATCAGGGATGAAAATGTAGCAGGGAAGAAAATAGAAGTTTTATCTTTTTTGCATTTCTGAGAAAAAGGCTAACACCGCCAGAACACACTTTAAAAACATTTAATGATCTAGATTTAACATTTGGTCATTTGTCACGGGTGCAGAATAAAACTCTGTGCACAAACTTAGGATTTATATATATATATATATATATATATATATATTAATGCTGTGCATATACAGTTCTACTAAAAAAGGAAATGTTTTGTCCAATATGTAGTACATATCTTTCTACGTCCACGAAGATTAATTCTTTGTTTACGGGAGAGCAAAAGATATGTGAGAGAAGCCATGTCAATTATAATTTCTGTTGGACTTAAACTTTCAAGTATTTTTTTTTTCCTTCGGCAGAAAAGGCACTGTTTATAAAACTATTTACTTTGGAAATGCGGCAGTGTTACTCTAAAGCCAGTTCCTTCCTGAGCTCTGCCCCGAACACGACTCCACTTCAGTGGTACCTTTGTGCATTGGGGCACTGCATGAGCGGCAGGTTTGACCGCTCAGCTCTGGCTAAACCCGAATTCTCTTTCGAAAGTCCCTCATGGCAGCATTCTCTAACAGGGAGGGTTTTTTGGAGTGTTTGGAATAGAAGCTTGTGCGTGGAACGGGGGCGCACAGCCCCAGCCCTGTGAAATGCGTGTGGGTGTGCAGAGAGGAGCTGACTCTCTGCAGAGTGTGAATGATGCCTCACCTGCACGTTTGTCGACGCTGCGAATCCACCGAACCGAGTGGCGGGGATGGCCTGAGAATATCCAGCTCCGGGGTCAGGATGGGGCTGAATAGCTGAGCTGAAACATCCTGGCTGAAGTGCCATTCAACAACGATCTCCGTGCAGCTCTTAGGTATAACTCGTAGGGATAGTGTTTCAACCACATACTTTTCCGTCCCCGCCCTCCCCCTACCTTTTTTTTTTTTTTTTTTTTTTTTTTTTTTAAATTTTAATTTTTATTTCGCTTTTAAATTAAAGGCCAAAGGAAGAAAAGACCCTCTCCAATGTACACTTAATGCATATAGCGTACTTCCCTTGCACCACCCCCCGCCCCAGGTTCAGCCTTCAATCCCCCTTCACACGGGTATAGTGGCTCTGTACTCTTGGGCTCTTTCAAGGCGGTTAAGCTGCTAAAATGTACTGACAGCTTAAGAAATGAATGAGATTTTTTTCAGCCATGAAGAAAGGGTATTTAGTAACCACGCTTCGATGGCATCATGCTTCCATGAAACGAGTCCGGACACTTTGGTTTAACAATCAGTAATATCACATTCAGTACAGTAAATGCCTCCATATACGCTTATATAATTCTATTCCCGCTTGACTATAAGCTTGCCTTATTTATTCCAGGTTACCTGGGCAATTAAGGTAAGAACTGCTCAGCAGATACTGATACCCTGCTGCTAAGGCATGGCGAATGGGGACCGAGCAGTGCGCTAACAAAGAGAAAGAGGTAGTCAAACATTTTGAAGAGGGGTGAATGGGACTGAAGGTGGATGGATGAATGGAGGCAAAGAGGGAGAGGAAGAAGCATTCAATGGTCCAGACTTCTCTCTGAATTTGTAGATTTAAGTTTAGGTGTCCGCCTCTAGCCAGTTTCCAGTTAATCCGCAGCAGCTTCTAGTGATTAGAAGTTAGTCTATTTAGCATGCTATATCCTTCTTCCTTGGGTTTTAGTTACAAGTTATACGATTAGGATTGCGAGAACAGTAGTGAACTAAACTTCCCAGTAAGAGGTCTTCACACCAGGGAAGTGTTACTTTGCTGCAGCAGCCCTGCCTCGTCAGTCATTAGGAAGCTGCAGGTTGTCAGAGGCTTCTCTTGCGCGCACACAAGCGCAGACACACACGCGCGCACACACAAAACCACAGCACTAAAACTAAATTAAGAAGCCGATGATTAAGACAAGCGTCTACGAGGCCTGTCATTTCAGCATCCTTCCATCATAACATTGTGGCACCGAGAAATTTGCTTGAAAACCCTGGAAAAAAAATGTCTATGGGAGAGCCTCGTATTTGAGGTTGTTAATATCAAATATAGACTGGGAACTGCCTCGGATGCAAGATAGTATTCCGCAGAGGAAAGGAGCACTGCAGAGACCTTGGTGCTATCCGCGCACTCCCGAAACTCTGGTAAGTATCTCTCCCTTCTATTGAAGCAGGTATGCACTGTGTAACTGGAACTGGACCG